GGCCAGTGGCCAGTTGGGGGGCAGGCAAGTGAGACAGCAAGAGGGGGGAGGGAGGGGGCACCCAGACCAGGTGGTACCAAGCCCAGTGATGCCACTGCCGGACCCTTTGGGTTCAGTCTTTCCTCTTTCCTCGGGAAAGTAAGCAACAGTGGGTTTTGGGGCTGGGAAATTGCCCCCCCAGATGACCCCCAGCATTTGTCCTCCCTGGTATGGAGTTGTAGGGCCACCCTCTGGCCATGGGTTTATCCCCCATGCGCCACCCTCCTTGCTCCTCATGGGAGGAACCCCAACCATTTCACTTGCTCCCCAAACCAGTTCAAAGGAGCCAGAACTGGTACTGGTTGTGGGGCAAACTGGCCAGACTGGTTTCCTCCCGGTTTCTCCTTTGACAATGCTAAATATGCACACATGGAAATGAGCAAATGCATGCAAATAAGGAGCGCCTCCTTGCTCTGTTTCGCTCTCTCTGGACAAAGTGGCAAGGCTTCGTGTTAGAGGATGGGTTCTTTTAAAAACAAGCATACATTTAAATGCATTAACAGAGGCAAGGAATCCATGGCTGAGACGTTTTGGCCTCTTTTGGGGACAGGTTGGCAAAGCCACCTCCAGAGGTTCTGGATAGCAAACCAGGCCCTGATCCTAAAGACATTTCTGCAGAAAGAAGCCCCATGGAATGCAAGACTTGTCTGTCTGTCTGTCTGTCTGTGCCTTTAGGGTGCCTGTGGGCCTACAGCAAGCCCTTGGATTTCATAGTTTTCTTAAGCAAGGAATCCTCAGAGGTAGTTGTGCCAGTTCCTTCTTCTGAGAATATGGCCTACAGCACCTGGTATTGGTTGGTGGTCTCCCATCCAAGTCCTAACCAGGGCCAACCCTGCTTAGCTTCCAGGACAGATGGGCCTTTAGGGTTCTGAGGCCCTTCTGAGCAAACCTGCTTAGGAATGTGCTGTGAAAGCAGGAGGTTTCCACAAATCAGGGAGATCCCAGGCCAGGCCTTGGGATCCAGCCTGTTTTCGGATCTCCCGGGATCTGATGGATTCCGTCTCTTGGGAGGGGTTTGGGAGGGCTCCACCTTGTGGAGTTTCAGGCCA